GTCAGAAAAGCACTGGGGGAAAAATGGTCAACATAAGAATAAAGAGGCTGCAGAATGTTATCTAGCAATCATAAAAGTTACTTAAGTCAAGGACACAGTTGGAGGAAAGCCAGATAAAAACAGAGCTAGTCAAACACATGCTTGTGTACCAGTCTGTATGGACCTGGCCCCAGGTGCTTCTCTCCGCCAATGATATGAAAGTGAGAAAAGGTGCATCCAGTGAGGTCAATAATAATTGGAATAAACCAACACAAGGCAGAGCCAGCTCCCCTTGGGAACAATTCTGGAGGGATATGCATAGTTGATAAAGTATGAATTCATGATGGGATCATTTTCCATTATAAAAAAAAGGGATTATATTGAGCTTGCTTGTTGGGACAATTTCTAGGTAATGTAGACAAACTGAATCTCCTCCTTAACTGTGTGTAAATAGACTAGAGGTTTGTGCGATCACAGTCTGTCTCTTGTCCTATCACGTGGCTCCTTCTGCACAAAGGATGCCCTGGGACGGAAATGGCAGAACCTATCCTCTTGCTGTAGATCTTTTTTAGTTGGTCTGTGCTGTGAACAACTATGACAGCTATGCTTATGCTATTTTTACCACCTTGATTGTTCTCTTACCGCCACCAAGAAAGGCTCAGGAAGCCCGTCCAAAAGGGTTCAGATACACAGAAGAGGGTGTTCGTGTTGAACTTTACAAAGGGCTTGCATGGTCAAAACCTCACCAATTCTCACGGATCCCTGAAGGAAATGTCACTATGCACATTTGACATAAGAAGAAACAGAGGCTAGAGAAGTAGAGACTTGATCAGGCTCACGCAGCCACCAAGGGTAACGGGGAGCTAGAGAGGGCTCTGTCGCTTCTCGGCCCTGTGTCATTACACCGCGCTGCCCCCTCACTGAATGCACGGTGTGATCAGATTTAGGTGAGATACAACTGTTTGAAGCAGGTTAGTTGATTTAGTTACTGCTCATCCCTCCTCCAATAAATGAGCAAAAGGGTTAAATTAAGTTGGTCGCCAGGCTCCTTGTCTTCCTGATTGGTGATCCTACTTCACTCTCTGCTGGTGGAGGAGTTCTTCACCTCTACAGTGACCTCCCCACGGGTCATGAAGGCTTGGGTTGCCTCAGGACTCCCAATCTTTGCTGCCTTCCAGGGCGCTCTGTCTGTGATGCTGATTTGCACAATGCTGGAGTTCTGCATAGGTGTGCTGGCGGCTGTGCTCTGGTGGAAACAGGCTCACTCCAGCTTCCTGGGGGTGAGTGTGCGGGCCGGTCCCCCTGGGTCTTGCCAGGTGCATCACAGTTTCCGGGCTGTGTTGAGCTATATCAGCAAGAGGGACAGGAGGACCAGTTAGTCACTGGTAAATGAGATACACATGGGAGGTGGTTTGATAGTAATGGAAGACGTTCAAATGAGGAAAGCAGGTGGCAAGCGAGAAGCTGACCCGCTGGGGATTAGCTGGGTGGAAAGAAAGTTGAATCTGAGAAATCAGCTGGTTGGGTTCAGTCTTCCCACCGGGTAAATGCGGAAGCCTGGGAAGTTAAATGACGAGCCCGGCATTATGCTACGAGCTTGCACCTGTGCTCAGAACATGCTCTGTGTCTTTTTCAGAGAAGAACACTTTCTGCTACAGCCACTAGTCTTTTTAATAGCCTTGACTTGGTAAAGGGCATTTGTTCATGTGACTGGATTCAGTTTAGGCTTATTTTCCCTCCCTGGCATCTTAAAATTCTTTTTTGCCGTAAAAGGCTTTCTGTTTTTTGTTTTTTTAAATTGCCGATTCACATTCCATGGGAACCATCTTATCACCACAAGGGACTCATGGCTTCATTGAACGAAGCAGCTTTGATTTATTAAAAATTCTGTATAGAAAACAGAATGAATACCAGGCTGATGAGCAGCAACTTAAAGAACTTGATTACATGTATACAGCTCAGGGGATGACTGAGAATTCTACGGATACAGTTTGGAGGAAGTGACAGCAAGATATATATATATATATGTATCTTAAGTTAAAACTAAGTGAACTCTGAAGAACATACAAAGAACTAACGTATTTTCTTTCCTCTAGAGTGTGATTTTCCTGCCTCAGAGTTACACATATAAGTCCAGCGTGCCCCCAAAGGCAGATTTTGACCATGGATATGAAGAACTATTGACTTCTTAGGGAAGGATTTATCAGAAATTTGGTTTTATAACACTATCTGAAAACCAACCAAAGAAACCCAACCCACAAAAGCAAAGTCTGAGTTGCTTCAAATATAGGCTTTTGCGTAATGAACATTAAACAATACTGACTTTTCATTTTCTTGTCCTTGAGTATATGTGTCCAGCAGGATTCTCTCGACTTGCCTCATACTGGCTTCAGCAAAAGCACAGAACTATAAAATACAATTGACTAGACTACCAAATAGACATTTACAAGAAAACTAGGCAGGATGGTAATTCAGTGGGTGGTGAAGTAATGGCAATAACTTCTTCTTGACCCAATTGCCAGTGGGAGTTAACTGACTCGGCATGGTGTGCAGACTCTCCCATACTAGGTACTAGGGTCCCATTGCATGTATTTTACCCTTAGTGCATGTAGACGAGCCCCCTACAGTAAGTGTCAGGAACTGTATAAGTAATGGGTTTCAATGTAATGTCATTATTTGATTTACTATTATGTGTGATTTTTTTTCCGACATTACCAAGCAATTAAATCAATTCTGACACCATCTACCTGGAGATAGCATCAGACGCCGCTGGTTCAAGGCTTAGTCCTTCTAGACGGCCTCTACCACCCTTCCCCCGACTTCAGATGCCTGTCCAAGCCCAGACTGTCACTGTGTTTCGGACTGACTGGCTGTAGATTGGTGGGGCATCCCAAGACCCTCTAGTTGGGGTCACTTAATTTTTTAGAGTAGCTTGCAGATCTTAGAGAAACATTTTACTTGCTAGATTTCCTGTTTATTCGAAAGAGGCATGACTCAGAACAGTCAGAAGGAAGAGATGCATGGGGGTGTGGGAAGAGGCGCCGAGCTTCCATGCTCTCTGTGGGCGCACCGTTCTCCTCAAATCTCCCAATCCTGTCCTGTTGGGTTTTTACAGAGGCTTCATTACACAGGCGTGATTGATTAAATCATTGTTCTGGTCGTTGTGACTGAACTCAATCTCCAGCCCCTCTCTCTTCCCTTCAAAGTTTCAATCCTCTAATCCCACAGTTGGTTCCCCTGCCAGCCAGCTCCCATCCTTAAATTGCCGAAGGGCAGTTTTATCCCTGTTGCCTGGGAAATTCCACAGGTTTTAGGAGTTCTGTGCCAGGAATTGGGAGGAAGACCAAATATATATTTCTTATTATAAATCACATCGCAATGCCATGTTTTTTTGGAAACTCATTTTCTTACTCTTCCTTTTAAATACAGAGTAAGTCAACAGTCACAGATTAAACCCAAATTTGAACTTCCTCTCCCTTCATCAAATACTCAAAGCAAATAAGCAAACAAAAGCTAACTGGAATACTTAACTATTATTAAGAGACAACCAGTTCGTAATTTTTTTCTGATTTCAAAATACAAATGAACAATTGTTCAGGTGTAAATGTTAAGCCTCAGCACACACAAACACATATGGGTACACACTCATGCACGCACACAGGTGTAGAAAGATATCCTCAATTTCGTAAGAGCTCCATTTCATCGAATACCTTCCTAAGTTTTTCCCCGCCACAACGCACCGTGCCAGGGTCATACCCACTGTATCAGGCCTGCTGATACTCAGTGTCTCCGTGTGATTTCTTGATGTGAAAGTTGAATGTTGGTTCTTTTCGTTTTAGCTCTTTCTCCAAACTCTCTCCTTATGTCTTCTTCCTTTTTTCAGTGCCTCCCCTACAGATGCACACATGTACACCATTTCTCTTTTTTTATTTCCCTTTATAGACATTCAACATTTATGGACACTTTTTGGGTACCTTACACTATGCTTGATGCCAGGGTTACAAAGGTGAAAAAGATACACGCCTTGGCTTCCAGGAATTCACCTTCAATTGGGAGAAACAGTAACAATACAATTAGAGAAGCATTTACCTTTATATGTGGCACATGCAAGATGCTGAGTTAACCTGGGGTTTATTCTCTGTTTTCTTCCACCTCCCCTTCTACTCCCTGCTCCAACTTGATCCTCTATGGGTAAAGTCAATTTTAATCTCAATCCGTCTCTGAAATATTGAACCTGATTATTCTCATAACATCTTGAATTTCTCCAAGAGAGTCTGTAGAGTGCTCGAAACAGAGGGTCTCAGACTATGCAGTAAATTTCCTTTTGCTACAAAGGAAGATTTTAGAATTAATGGCCTTTTTCAGAGCATCTGCACAGGTGACTTTACTGGCATCTAGTGGTAATTAATAATGAGGAGAAAATTCCTCCTCCCACCCCCAGAGAACTAACTCAGTCTCCATGGGGAATTTCTCTGGAGGCAGCTAACTTGACAGCAGGAAAACATGCCTGCGACCTTTGTCTGCAGATGTCATCAGTGAGGGGTAATTATGCATCTTTCAGAGATCACTTATTATTTGCATCTGCAAAAAGATACCACACAAACCATGACCATAAGAGAGCTGGACTGCCTATCTTCATATGAAATACAATATGCTTTAATATAAGAGATATTATTCAGAGAAAGAGGAATATTTTATAATGATAAAAGGGCCAATGCAGCAGGAAGCTAGAAGTGTAAATAAGTGTGTACATAACATCTGAGCCCCAATATATGAAGCAAAAACTGAAAGAATTGAAAGAATTCATCAGCTATAATTTGGTTTCAACATCCTATTCTAATCACTGATAGAAAAACTAGACAGAAACTCAAGAAGGAAATGAAAGATATAACCAACATTATCAACCAATTTAACCTAAATGGTATGTAGATATAATACACTAATACTATAATGCTAATTTTAATTATATTATACTAAAATAACATAAATGTAAATGTATATATATAAAACACTCTGCCCACCATCTGCAGAGCTCCCCCGCTTTTCCCGTGCGCACATGGAACATTCTCCCACACAGACTGTGTTGTAGGCAGAATTATAAGATGACTCTTATGATTCTCATCTTTGTATAATCTCCTCCCAGAGTTTGGGTGAAACATGTAACTATCATAAAACATCACTCACAGAATTACGATGTTATATGGCAAAGGGACGTTTGAAGATACAGTTAGTGTTACTAATAAGTTGATTCTGGGTTAATCAAAAGGAAATTAAACGAGCAACCCAACCAATCACACAGTCTGGGTCTGGAGGGCAGAGACAGGGAATCAGAGATTCAAAGCAGCAGAGATATTCTTTTGCAGGCCAGGAAGGGGCAGTCGCCACGTCTTGCAGAGAGCCTTGCGGCAGCGAATGCTGAATTAGGGGGCCCCCGGGGGACGCCAGTAGGAAAACGATCCCTACCAACACCCTGAATGAGTTAGGAGGAGGACCCCACGTCGAAGGTGATACCGCCTCGCCGCTGCCGTTTTACATTCTCCTGGGATCACAGTGGCAAATCAAATGAGATGCCCATTCTGGTGGTGCCTCTTAACACAGTGTCAACCGGGACCTAGGTGAGGGGCATCCCACTTGGGAGCCTACTTCAGCCTTGGCAGAACTGTGCTTCCATGGTTCCAGTGGCTGCTGACCATTTACATGACAAAGGAGGGGCAGCGGCGCGTTTGCCTGTTTTGAGTATGTACGATGCATCCCGCCCTTCATCTATTCTGGTGAATTCTAAATTCTCAGGAGCCGTTTTACCAGATGCAGGTGTAACTGGTGTAAAATTGATCCGGTTTAGTTACCCAGGTTCCTTTGGTCGGAGCGCCACCTGCTGGTCAGAGGGGGAACACTCTGCTTTTGCTAAGCAGGAACACTGAAAATGAGTTTTTAGCTGACCTGCCACTTTGCTGAAGTTCCTTACTCGACCATTTTGCCAGCTCTCTTATTTCCATCTACATGGGAAAGTTTATCAGTAACTACTTTAAGTCTGTGTTACTTCAAACCAGAGTGGCTCAGTAACCAGCTCAGTATCCCCTTTTTCAGAACTATTCTTTTAATTTGTAAGTAAATCCTTAGCAACATTTTTAGTTAAAGATGAGGCTGTGTTTTCAATGCACGGCACTTCTGATGCCAAATCCTCTAACGGTGGCAGCTAGGGTTCAATTCTAAAGACTCAGAATCCAATATATCAATGTTGGCAACTTTAGGGTCTATTACAGGGATAGGACCCAATACAGCAACAGCATTGAAGTAAGGCTGTGCATTCCAGCTAAAGAGTGCCTCACAGCAAGGGGTCCAGATGCCAGGCTTGAGTTACAGTTGCCCTCCCTTTCTCTCTGTGATGTATGTTCTGTTTTTTATAGGGAACCCCAACCCTAATGGCAGCTGGGCCTTCTAATAGCTGGCTTGTCATATGAGCATATTTCTTGTTAGGTAACCAGCCCCATGAAAGGCCATTCTCTAGCCTCACAGAAGCCATGTGCAAATCACCAGCCACACTGTTTGCAGTGAAGGATGCTGATGCTGGGGAGGGAACACTTTCCTCTACCCTTCCAGGTTCTTCTAGCTAGTCTAAGAATTAAATCAACCTGAGAGCACAGGAGAAAAAGACCAGTTTAATTATACGTGCACGGAAACCCAATAATGAAATTGAGACTGAAAGAAATGATGAAGGCAGGCAGTTTTTATATTTTTTAGATAAAGAGACAACACATCTGTGAGGAATTGACAGGACAAAGAAAATTTATGATTGTGAGCTTTAATTAACAAGGAATTCTAAACAATTTGGGTTGGGGTAGTAAATTTACAAAGCAACAGGTGTAGTTTGTAGAGCCTTCTCAGCTCTGAATTCCCCCCGTCTGGTGATAAAGATGCCTCCTGACCTCCTGGCACAGGGAGAAGATCTTTCACTGGGAGATTGATTTCCTGCTTTCTGGAGCCAAAGGAGGGCCCAAGCATTCTTGCACTGGCTATTTCTAAAGTCACTTTTAACTCAAAATAATCAGTATGCCAAAATGGCACATTTGGGGGCAACTTGTCCTTGGCCCCTGCACTGTCAAGCTGGTGCAAACCACCCAGAAACTCCTAACACCCGGGGTCACCAAGCAACACTACGAATGTCTGGACTAAGCGTCAGTGCCATGTGGGTGCAGCAGAGCAGCTCAGGCCAGTTTCAGGCTTGCTGAGATGAGCCCCGGCAACATAGGCATGGGAAGTCCATGGAAATCCGAAAGTAGCGCAGAGGAATTCTACTCCGAAATTTCATATCCTCAGGGGAGTTCAGATTAAATCAGATCTCTCTCCATAGTTTTCTTGGCTTGGAAATTCTCCCCGTTGTCTCCTTGAAATAACCAACCTGTATGAATTTATACTTTTCTCTCATCTAAAGAGCAAAGAACCTCCAGGTCTATGAAAGTCATGTCATCATCCTTGCCCTGCAGACCAGGAGGCTCTGACTGGCTTGGCTTGGTGCTGCAACTCCCCTCTCCCCTCCTAGACTCCAAAGAAATATCCTAATGACTGATTTCCTAACATTACTCATTTTTAACAGAGAAGAGTGGTGGGGATAAAAAGGAAATTATTCTGTTAGGTCCTATCAGAAAGAGGATGAAAATCCCCCCTGAGATATCAAAGTATCAAATCTTCCTATAGGATCAATGGAGGGACAGTCACCTCAGGCTAATACTATTTAGATAATAGAAATACAAATTTAGAAAGTAATTCAGAAAATACAAGTCCAGAAACACTTACAAAAATAAGACACTTTGTGTCAGGTCTGAAGATGGCCCTCAGCTGTGAGGTTAGCGGGAGCGACCCTGTTCCTGCTACAGTGGCTCTGACCGCGTTCATTCCCAGGCTGCCTTTCATCTGGAAGAGATGGTAAGTGCCCATTGCTCCCAGAGGATCGTAATGTCCTCCTCCTTTTGGAGAACACAGAGGCATGTACTTATTTTGAAGGGGTCGAAGGCACATTCTCGAATAACTTTTCTAGGTCTAAGAAAGAATGCCGCCGAAGCACTGGATTCTGTCCTCGCGAGTGAACACCAGGCACAAGGTTCAGATGATAGAAGTGGGAAAGGTAGGTTCAGCCTCAGTTTCCTGATGGAAGAATTTGCAATGACCCCCTTAAAGCCCAGATGATTCAGAGAATTAGGGATGGTTTCTTTTGCCTTGAGCTAAAGCACCTCTGATTTTGCTTATTGCCTCTGGGCTCAGGGAAACATTTCCCAGGTTCAGTGTCAGTTTTCTTCCAGCAGGAATAGACAGAGTTCCAGATATGAAGAACTGAAACTGGATGAATCCACTCAGCCTGGTGAGCCTGCACCTATACTTTCACCTATTCCAGGTTCATCATATCCCCAAAGCACTGAGGCCGAACAGTTTTCCCCAAGAAATAAAATCCCAGATGAAGTAACAGGTTTTTGAGAGAGAAGACTGGAAGGAATATTTGCAGAATATTACTGTGGATAAAATGAAAGTTCCTGTATCCAGGATTCTCACCTGGACCTGGTCAACTAGCTCACTACACACATGTTAATACTTGTTGTTATTGACTCTATATAAAGGGCCCTGCCCAGTGCTTTGGGTGGCGCAGTGGCACGGCTGCAAGGCTGCAGGAGAGCAGAGGCTGGAATGGTGGCAGCACTGAGGACACAGGCCCAGAGGCAGGGACCGGCTTGCTGCCTGCAGACTCGCTCTGAGTGAACGGGATTCTAGTGATTGACCTGCCACCATGGAAATAAAGTTGGGTATAAACCCTTCCACCCCAATAACGTTCCACTGTCATTTTTCAGTCTCACTAAATCCATAGTGAACTTGTCCAGGGCTGAAACCTATGGGCAAGCCAGGGGATGTTCATGACACCCACTCCATGTTTCTGTCAATCGGATGCTTTGCAATTCAGTAAGAGAAAGTAAATATTTAATTTACATCATGAATTTATAAGTGTATGTGGCTAGAGACTACATTAAATGCGAACCTTCACTTTCTGGGTAAGAAAGCTTAGTTCCAAAGGAATTATATCACTTCTTAGATGTCAGCATTTCTGTGTTCAAACCCAATGAGAATTCAGTTTCTCTAGCAAATCGGCCTCTTTGCCTGTCTAGTGTTACCTACACCACAAGCATAGTGGCAATTTACTAAAAGCTGTGATGCTCCAGGCCTGCTCAAAATGGATTTCTGAACCCTCTTCCGTTGGTTCATACTCCCCTGGAAAACATTTAGTGCATTGATGGCTCCTACTCTACACCCTCCCCTGTTCTGATGCCAGTGCCAAGAGACTGCAGCTGCTTTCATTCAAAGCAAAATATAATTTCCCTTTCCTCCTTGATTCTGCATTTAACCTTGTGACTGTTACTTTGACTAATGAGGTACCAGCCAATGGTTTAAAAGCACAATCTCTATTGTGCTTTGTTGTGCCCTAAAGGACAATGTTTTAAAAGCTCATGCAATGGTTGGGAAAACATCTTACTGAAGGACACAACACCTGGAGGGGAACACGGCGTCCCACGTGTCTCAGCTGAAGCCATCTTAATCAGACAGCAATTACTGATGCTCAGTCACGTGAGCCATCCCAGCTGATTTCAGAAGAGCCATGCATATCAATGTGCACATTTGCCGGCAGTTTGCGTATTTATTGCTTTAAGCCATTAGGTTTCAGCGGATTATTTGTTATGCACCATTACATCACTGTGGCAATAGACGACCGTTGAGCATGCTGCCTGGTAGGCTCACCTTAGTTCTAATGTGACTTATAATGAGTCTGGTTTGTCTATATTTTCCAGTTTCTGTCTCATTTTTCAGTCTTAAAAAACCCCCATTCCTGCATATTCTCTCACATGATCAGAGAGAATTATAAACAGATTCAAACAATAACTGGACTCCCTCTGTCTAGCAAAAAGAACACTAACAAAGCTTTGACAACCACCTGTTTGGTGATCAGGGTCCAGGTCTAAGTAAAAATTCTGAAGACAAAACAAATTTGTGACCTTTGATTACACTGAGTCCCAGGTAACTTCTGTGTGTAAGAACCATAGAAATGGGGCAATGTCAAACATGTTAGTATATAATCTTATGTGTCTCAGGAAAGTAATGCTTTTATCACAAGACAGGGAAAAACAATGAGTCAGAGAAGTTTCCTTAGATGATCAAGTCCCATAGTTTCCTTCTCAAACTTCAGTAGGTGAAGCCCATGGTGTGCTGAAGCTGCCTTCTCTACATGAATATACACAACAAAGCCACTTACTGTAAAAGTAGGACTCTGTACTACCTTTAATGTGTCTCTCTTCCCTGTTTACTTCCTTCCATTTCCCTGGCTGAAATCCCATTTATTCTGGAAGTTAGCTAATGTATTCCTTTTGAAACAGATGTTGAGAAGGGCACCTTTCTGCAGACTGAACATTCCCCTCCCACATCGATGAGAATCTTTTGAACGCGCAGTTACAAGCAGACTTAACCCTCCCAGAGTTCATTCTCACCTCAGCCTGTGCTAGATACTCTTGACTCAGGTTCGACCTGTCACCCACCAATGGCCCAAGTAGAACTCTTTCGAGAAGCTGAGAATAGAAAATGAGCTGCCTTTGGCTGATTCTAGAACTGCCCCAAATGGGAGGTGAGCGCCCCTCCTGGTCACTGTTCTCTAAATCACCTCCGCAGAAGACTGACCCAAAGAACCGACAATCAGGGTCCAGGTCTAAGTAAAAATTCTGAAGACAAAACAAATTTGTGACCTTTGATTACACTGAGTCCCAGGTAACTTCTGTGTGTAAGAACCATAGAAATGGGGCAATGTCAAACATGTTAGTATATAATCTTATGTGTCTCAGGAAAGTAATGCTTTTATCACAAGACAGGGAAAAACAATGAGTCAGAGAAGTTTCCTTAGATGATCAAGTCCCATAGTTTCCTTCTCAAACTTCAGTAGGTGAAGCCCATGGTGTGCTGAAGCTGCCTTCTCTACATGAATATACACAACAAAGCCACTTACTGTAAAAGTAGGACTCTGTACTACCTTTAATGTGTCTCTCTTCCCTGTTTACTTCCTTCCATTTCCCTGGCTGAAATCCCATTTATTCTGGAAGTTAGCTAATGTATTCCTTTTGAAACAGATGTTGAGAAGGGCACCTTTCTGCAGACTGAACATTCCCCTCCCACATCGATGAGAATCTTTTGAACGCGCAGTTACAAGCAGACTTAACCCTCCCAGAGTTCATTCTCACCTCAGCCTGTGCTAGATACTCTTGACTCAGGTTCGACCTGTCACCCACCAATGGCCCAAGTAGAACTCTTTCGAGAAGCTGAGAATAGAAAATGAGCTGCCTTTGGCTGATTCTAGAACTGCCCCAAATGGGAGGTGAGCGCCCCTCCTGGTCACTGTTCTCTAAATCACCTCCGCAGAAGACTGACCCAAAGAACCGACAGCCACCTTCAGCTCTGCGGGATCATCGTTACTTCCTGTGAGTCATCCGACCCAGCCTACCCGTGCAGCTGTGATGAAACTGTAACGAATAACCTGCTGCTTGCACGAACTAGTCATCAATCTCCACTCAAAAGCTAAGGGCAAACCACCGGGGACTTGCTTTTAGATCTTGATTGCATTGAGATGCTGTTTTGTTATTGCGTGTAAAGCTTTTCTGGCAAAAGCTCAGTCCCATAGGGATGAGATTCTGACTTTTATACCAAGGGCCCAACAGTAGCAAAGAATAAAATTTCCACAAATTAACATTTTTTTTGGCAAACATCAGATAAAAAATTCATCACTAACCACTGTAGCTGAGCCTACTGAGAGCAGTTAGTAACCAACCCTTTTAATAGCCTTTTTCTTGTGATTACATTGGAAAACTCGTCACAACTGCTATTAGTCTTTTGCTCAATATGTAACACCTGATGTTCTATCCCTGTCTTTAGGTTTTCAAGTATTTACCCCATCCCTGGGTCCCGTTGGTCAACTTGTGAAACTCTGTTAGGAATCAAGGAATATTCTATTTATTTTATGGTTTGCTAATTGCCTGATTTTTTTTAAAACCAGAGAACCAACAGCTTCAGAACATCAAGAGGTAGAAATGAGACCAAAAAAAATTTAGTTTTTTTTTTTTACTAATCTCACTTATTTTCTACAAAATATAACACTAAGTAAACATCAGATTTTTCCCACATTGATTTTTAATGGTTTGCTCTTTACAATTTTTATTGGTTTTGAAAGTCTGCTAAAGGGCAGGCACTGTGTTAAAAATGAACAGACAAAAGTATTCACATTCAGTAATATAATATGATTTTATTTTAAAACATATACATTATAACAGGTAGAGAAAACCAAAGTTCCTCTGGCCAGGATTCTCACCTAACCCTGGTCTGCTTGCCCACTGGGCATGTGCAATGCTCGCAGGCTTAGGCTTGCACACGTGTGTGCAATAAGTTATTACTGACTCTATATAAAGAGTTCCTCCCTGTGTTGTGGGGCTGCGAGGTGGCAGAGAAGCCCAGAGGCAGAGACCTGCTTGCAGCATGCAGACTGCCCCAGAGAGGATGGGATTCTAGCACTTGACCTGCCACTACAAGAATAAAGCCCAATATAAGACCTTTTACCCAAAGATGCTCCGTTGTTATTTTCTGGGCTTAATGAATTCATAGTGAACCTGCCTGGGGCTGAAACTCTCAGTCAAGACATGTATTTTACTTTAACTTCTTTGAAAGCATTTTCCACTCAGTATCATAATATGTAGTTTTTATTCATCATTTTCATTGATTTACCATATTCAGTTGTATAAAAAGCATTTTCTTCTTTACATGTTGATAAAATGTATAGTTCCTGCAATACTTATTTCAGCAGAAATCCAATTCAGAACATTCTGATGTGTGTCTCTTTGTGTATTAGACAATAATTTTGCAAGGCTTATGTCTTAAATTGGGCACATCGCCTACCACAGGATTTTGTTAAATGATTCTCTAAAGTGGTATTTCAAACTAACTTACTCTAAGTGTGTGACAACTGCTGTTACTATTGCTCCACATCCTGGCCAATTCTTGGCTTTGCAAGATAAAACCAGCATTTTTTACGTTTTTTGCTATTCAAGTATATTCTTGTAGGAATCAAATGTTGATATCTTCTATCAGTTTTTCTATTGGTTGGTTTGATTTGTTGTATTGATTCTAAAAATCTTTAAAACAATTCTGTGTTGCTTTAATCTGTTTGGCTTGCTACATATAACAATACCATAGATTGAGTTGCTTATAAACAACAGAAATTGATTTCTCACAGTTCTGGAGGCTGGGAAGTCCAAGATTAAGGTGCAGGCAGATCCTGTACCTAGAGAGGGCCCACTTCACGGTTCATAGATGGTCGTCCTGTCACAGTGTCCTTGCACAGTGAAAGGGGGCAGGGTGGCTCTGTGGGGTCTCTTTCACAAGGGTACCAATCTCATTCATAAGGACTCTGCCCTCATGATCCAATCACCTCCCAGAGGTCCCACCCCTAAATACCACCACATTGGGGATTAGGTTTTCAATTTATGGGTTTTGAGGGGACATAAACATTCAGTCTATATAACATGTAGTA